CTTCCTCTTCCTGCTTCCAGGTGTCTTTGGGAATTGTAGTCCACAGTTGCAGCCAGCAGTAAGTCTGAGCAGGGGAGGGGATGTTTAACCCCCCTCCCTGGCCCCGGACCCGGACCCGGACCCCAGCCAGTGTTTGTCTGAGGGGAGAGGGGGCAGTCCTCACCCCTGGAAACTGGGCTGCATCCCTAGCTGGGCTTACCTCCCTACCTCCTTGTCAGCCAGCTCTCACTGCTCCAGCTAGGGAGCAGAGGGACAGGGGCAGCCCTGCTCTCTGGAGCAGACAGCACAGCCTAGCCCACAGCTGCAAAGCATGTTGAGATGCTGGGGGACTGTGACTGAGGGGTGTGTGTATATGTGGAGGGGTGTGGGTAGGGTGTCAGGGATGGTTGGGGGGTGTAGGGACCCCCTCCCATGCTCCCCTATGGCACACAGTCCCTGCTGCTGGTGGCAGCAGCAGCAGGCAGAAGCTCCATGGGGTGCTCCTGGCCCACACACTTGCAGCTGCCCAGCAGCACGTGGCTCTAGCCAGTTCCAGGAGCTGCATGTGGAGCCAGGCCAGCCCACCTCTGTTGTACTGGGCTCTCCACAGCTCACGTACAGCTCCTGGGACTCTTCCAGCAGAGTCCTAGGAGATGCGTGTGGCAGCAGGGAATGGGGACAGGTGCCATTCCACAGGGCTTTCCCCAAGTGGTGCACGAGTCCTGGGATCTGCAAAGGTGCTGCGGGGAGCCCTGCACAACAGAAGTGGGTCAGCAGACCCACTTGCTGCCACCACCACATGCAGCTCCTAGAACTGGCTGAAGCTGTGCAGTGCCAGGTGATTGCTTGCACAAGCCATGAGCATCCCAAGGATCTGCCGTTTGCTGCTGCCACCATCAGCCTCAGAACCTGTGCACCATGGTGGGGGGGAAAATGTAGGGAGGTTCTCACACCCCCCTATCCTCCCTCATACCCGATACAACCACATCCTGCCCAACCAAGCTCCACACTCCCACCGCCCCACTGGGCATGGGCCCCAACCCCCAGGCTTCACACTCCCGCCCAGCTGCAGCTTCCCCTCTGCCTGCCACCACTTCCCTATCTGCTGCCCAGAGCAAGTGTTGCATCAGGGACATGAGGAGCAGCCACTGGAGGTCAGGGAAGCCAAGCAGGTCCCTTGGCAGCTGCAACAGTGGCAGCAATGGCTCCACCCAGAAGTTGTGCATGGTGGCCTGGGCCAGGGCCCTCCTGTGCACAAGGGAGGGAGCAAATCACGTGACCTAAGCAGGGTACCATTAATTGGTGGGTGCCTGTGGGTCTGGTGAAAGCACCTGGTGGACTAGATCTGGCCTGCAGGCCGTATTTTGCCTGCCCCTGCTCTAGGGTCTGTTGTTTGACATGTAGGTAGGGTCATCTGTAAAGTTTTCACAAGCCATAAGCTAGTCTTTTTACATAAACTGCCCAAAGCAAACTAACCCAGATACACACCCTAACACACTACCCCTCTTGAACTAGCAATGAAAAAGGGTTAATGATTAAGATATTTAGTATCTTGCAGTTCTGAAAGATTAGTAATCTTTTGATATAGTACCAGACGCACTGAATATTGAAAACAAAAAAAAAAAATCATACCACATAACAAATTTAATTTAGTGTAGGGTTTAGGACGAGTATGAAGTTTGAAAAATCAAAAGAAAGATCATTAAGTCTCTGTGTTAAACTAACCTTTTTGGCACTGTTCTTTACCCTATGTGTAGATGAAGTAGTAGATCCTTTACACTCTGCAACCCCAAACCTTGGAAGTGCCTTGTTCCACACAGCTTATTGCTCGTTCTAGACAATAAATGCAGGTTTTCTGGTATTTGCTGCAGTTGCTCATTGCAACTTGTAAGCAAAACATTTTAAGATCACTCATTAGAATGAAAACTAGGTCATGCAAAAAAGTCAACAAAACAATTTTATTTCCAGTGTTTAAGTGGGTGTGCACACAGGCAAGATACAGGTTTGGATTCAATATGTCTTCATGCAGAATTATATTCTTCTCAATAAAAGAAACCAGTTCCATCCAGGATCCACTATCTACACTGCTATGTTACAACATTTATATCAAATCTGGTATCTGAAAAACAGATACACATGTAATATGTACATTTAAGTTACTTATTTTACAGAAAGATTAAAAATTCAAGTCACATAAAACTCAAAAACTGTATTAAAATTGGAATATAAAACTCAGAGATCCAACTGGAATGCCTAAAGAATGGAAGCTCTGTATCCACCTGTGTTAAAATTTGTAAAATGTAATGAAATTTATTACAGATAAAATGCATTTGTTTGTAGTTAGTTTCTCTAATTTAACAATTAACAATATGGCACCCTAACAAAACAAATGAATTCATGATGAGGCACTTGTTAGTGACTAAACCAAAAGAACATTTTTTTCTGCATACTAATGCCAAGCCAACTCTCAGGTCATAAAACCATGTATACACTACATAGCATGTTGCATCAGATGCTCTGTTCAACATTTGTATGCAGCCATCAAATATACTTTTTCTTAAAATATATATATATATATCTATACTTTAACATTTTTATGTTCTTCTGGCTGTAGTAATGCCCTGTGAAGACTTTCCACAGTGCATATTGATGAAACCAGCCCATATGAAGGCTGCATAACAACAACAGTACAAGAAAACATATATACACAGTTACTGAGAAGTGTAACAATAAGCTATTGAATTGCTGTAGTGGACATATTTCCCATTTTAAAGATACTGGTAGAATCGAGATCTGACTACCTGGGTCCCAGACAGTTTATGAGGATGGGCATCAATTGCTGGGCTAAAGTTGCTTTTGTTCATGTTCTGGTAACTTTCACCATTTACTTGGTCAGGTGGCTGAGGTGATCCTGAAGGAGGTGCTCTATTGATCAAAGTCAAATTGCTAGAAGAATTGTCATCATTTGTCTGCATTTTTGCAGAAGAAAGGATCTCTGTCTGAGATGGGTCTGCTAAGCTAGTGTTCTCAAGTTTGGGCTTTCCAGTTTCACCCGTATTAAGGTCAGTTGTGCTAGTGAGTAAACGCTCCCGTGCAAGCCAATCTGAAATTGAAAGGTCCTGGGCTGGACATTTTGGCTTTAACCGATTCACAGCTGAAAGCTCAGACTCCTCTCTATTCTGACTCTGCTCTTGAGCTTTCCAAGCATTTAAAACACTTAGTTCAGGGAAATCCCTCTGCCCTCCAAGCGTATGTCTTCTCCTGATGCTCTTTTTCTTTGAGATCTCTGCAGAGCTAGATTTCTGATTTCCTATTCCAAACATATCGTCTGCAGATGCTTTCAGCCGCAGTTTCAGCCTGTCTGTTATTTTGAGTCTCCATGTAGGTTCTTGTTTTTCAGTTTCGCTTCTCGCTGATGTAGTTAAACTGCTGGTTGATCTTCCTTTTTTCATTATGTCAAACATTTTGGTCATAGTAGGCAAGTCCTTTTCATTTTTAGCATCTCCAAAACCCTCACCATCTATTTTGTTCCGGGCAGACTTCTTCCTTGAAAGTGTATCACATTCAATGAGTTTGTGGGAACTAAACAGTCTGCGGCTGTCTAACTTTGGCGTTGAACTTCCATCAGTACAGCTTACTTCGCTTTCTTCAGAGTTCCTCCTACTTGTCTTTGCTACTTCTTGTATTTTTCCCCTCAACAGTCTTTCAGCAGCAGATCTTGTAGCAAAGACAGGGAAATCATTTTCACTATCTGTTTCCATGGGTCGACCATCACTGATCAATTCACTCTGTTCATCATCAGCTTCCTCTCCCTTGCTTTCTGTCACCAACTGCACCTCAGGGCTCAGCATGCCAGAATCTAGGTATACAGCAGAGGAAGTGGCCGAGTAGTCTGAGGTGACAGAACTGACATAAGCAGCTAAAAACTCACTGCATTTAATTTCAGGGCTGGCTACTTTTTTGCATGAGAGTCTGCGTAGGGAAGCCTGGGAAGAAGTGTCAGAGTCAGGCACTGTCTCCTCAATATGGGAGGTGGCTTGTGAAACAGGTATTTTAGGATAATCTTTCTGCAAGGTTACCCAGCAGCTGAGATCAGGTGACTTTGTGTGCTTTTGGTGGCAAGGTGCCAAAGAAGCCTCTGAAGGGGCACACTCTTTCCTTCCTGACTTCTTGTCATCCTTCGCAGCATTTGTGTCTTTTTTACTGCTGTTCTCTTTTTCTTTCGGCACAAACATCCTTTGTTTTCTCCCTCTCGCGTCTCTTCCTTTTTCACATTCCCCTGTAGTTGCATCCTCTTTTGTCATTTCACAAGATCGTTCAGCAAGCTCCTTCTTGTGGAACACGCTGTCAAATTCATCTTCCGAGCTGCTTTGGGGTGGCTTCTCTTTTGTTTTTTTTCGCTTGCGACTAGCTGCTGCGAAGATGGAGGACACAAGCAATTCCTTACTATACTGATCCTTTCCAGATCCCCAGGAGCCCTGTTTTAAATACAAATCAGGGAGCAAGGTTAGAATTTAAAACAAATAAAGCTAAGTGATTAGATTGATATTTTAAGTGGGTATTTTGGGCTCTAGACTGAGCTCTCGCTTGTGTTTCTTCAAACTAAAAAAAGTCCTTCACACGGTCAGCTCTACTAATTCCAGTCCTACCTGCCTCCGGCTATGACAACAGCGAGGAAGAAAGGCTCTGTTTGCTGGCAGTCCTGTAAACTGAAACCAGACTGTAGAGGGGGAACAAGCCCTTCAATATCACTTCCAGTCTTGTCTTTGCTAAAAGACTACTGGTGAAGGTTTTGGAGAACTTTCACTGATAATTTAATTGGAGGGGTTCCAGGCATCCTCTTTTTTTTTCTTTTTTAAATCAGAGGCTTCCTTTATTCCAAATGTTAACTAATTATTTAAGAGGGAAAAAAACAGCATAATCACAATCCTCTTCCCTCTGAACTACCCTGCTTCCATACTAAGTTCCTGTCATGCCCAAACTGGAAGATTCTTGGCCTGAGATGCAAGAATAATAGTGCTGACAGCAAATGCATAAAATAAGTAAATTATTTTCAAATCAGTCTTTACAAAAATCACAAGGAGGTAGATGAACTGAAGGGGTTTCCCCCCGCTCCCCTTTAGAGTTGCCCTAAAAAACAAAATTGAATTTGCAGTATATCATCATCATCATCACTTGACCACTTTATTCAATACCCTTTAACTTCCCATAGCTGTTTATCCTTTTTAGAAAAGGAATCTCTGGGTCAGGACTTTGCCTCCTTTGATGTCTGACCAGGACCTGGTGCACTGTAGGCACTCTTATGAATAAATATGAAATATTATTATAATGACATAAATAGGGCAGGTCACTTGTTTACATCAGTCACAGAAGCTTTTATGTAGGTATTTCTAGGGCTGATCAACTATGCTTGAGGTTCAACAAAAGCAAGTGAAAGCATCAGTTATTTGCACATTGTATCTACAGTCTATGGGTGCAGACAGAAGTGCAGCTCCTCGCTGTAGCTGAGAACGCTTTGCAGGAAGCATTCTGAGCATTACAGTGACCCCTGGAACAAACAGAAGTTCACTGGTGGTTCCAGGGGAGAGGGAAATATAGCTGTTGGCTGCCTTAGCAACAGCCCCTCCTTGCTCCCAACCTGTCTCTGTTTCAGAACAGGAGAGGGGAAAGGGATCAGAGGGAGTTTATTCTACGGGTTCCCTAGCCAGTTTTGGAGGGTGGGGTGAGTGTAGTAGTAGAGCACCCTTCTGCAGCCCAAGGTGGGGGGGGGGCTCCAATACACGCACCCCACCCTCCAGCAGGGGCTGAAACCCCCTGCAACTGAACTCCCTCCACTCCCTTTCTCCCCTCCCATGTGCTTGTCTTCAACAATGAAGGATTTGGTGTTAGAGACACGCATGGAAGAAAGGTCCTTTCCTTTTGTGTGTCCTTGTGACGAGGTACTTAGCAGAATTTGCAGATTCATTGGAATCTGACATGACCATGCCATGGTTGCAAGCTGGTGACCTCTGGGCTGTCAACAGTGCACCTTAGAGCCTCCATGGAAAGAAGGTACCCTCCACAATTGTCACCCATCATTTATCAGTGTGCAGTGTTCTGCTAGAGCAGGGGTTCTCAAACTTTCTGATACCACAAGGGGGTTGCAAATTTTTCTTCCCTCCCTAGAAGCGGTGGCATGGGGGCTGGGCTGCCACCACCATCGAGCACTCTGTGCCGTGGCAGCGCACTGCATGCCACTTGCCCACACCCAAGTCTGGCTGGTTGCTGAGCGGGGAGCAGAGCCCCAGTGGCTGGCCAGCTGGACTTAGGCACAGGGAAGTGGTGCACAGCATGCAGTGGCAGCACCACTCCTTCTAGGGAGGGAAGAGAATTTGCAACCCCCTTTTCAGTTGCTGCAGGGTCATGACCCACAGATTGAGAACCCCTGCCCTAAAGGTGTAACACTTTACTCAACTTGTATTAAAACTTAAAATAAATATTACATATCTAGGAAACTACTTAATCCACGGGTTTGCCGATTTCACGTAAACCACAAAATCCAGGATTCTCCACAACAAAATAAACTAAAAGCTTAAAAAAAATAATATGTTGGCTCCCCAATAGGAACCAGTGGTCCTCGATGCCAGGAAGGGAAGGTGCCAGGTGGCAGAGCAGCAAAGATGGCAGCTTCCCCCTTGTCTCTCTCCCCCCTGCAGGGGTCTCTCTGCCAATCAGCACCAAGGGGCAGAGCCGACAAAGCATCCAGCAATCAAGATGGTGGCTGCCTCTTTGTCCCACCTCCCTTTGCCAGGGTCTCTCTGCCAATCAGCGCTGAGGGGAGGGGCCTGCAAAATTGGCTGTGCACTGCAAGCAGGCTGCAAAAAATCCTTTGCCTCACTGTGATTCAGGTAGGTCCCTACACATAACTATTTTAAGCAAAGATGGGGGCCAGTCCACTCATCCACAGGTGAGCTAAGTTCCGCAGCGCTTGCAGTCACGGTGCTGTAAGTGAACACAATGGGCTCCTATAGACATACAGCAAGGCTGCTCCAATGTGCTGTAAGTCAACATCCTCCAGCAGCCTCCAGTGTCGTGTATCAGCAGCCCCATGCTGAAAAACGGGGGCAAGGCACTTTAAAGCTTGTTTGATGAGCTTTATTTCAAAGTGCCCCACCACCATTTTTTAGCACAGGAATGCTGATACACATCATGCTCTGGTGCTTTTAATTAGCATGGCTTGCTAATTAACACCCCCACCCCCGGAGCACATCTATAAATGCCCAATAAGCCAAAGACAAGTTGAAAGCTCGTTTGTATCCAATATATTATCTGTTTAGCCACTTGTATAGCCATCATCCCAGTATATAGTTTACCGCTATATAAGGGGAATAATGCATCAAGGGCTCAGCAAACAACTGTTCACCAGGGCATCCTTGGGGAAAACGAGGAGTAATGGTCACAAACTCCTGGAAGACCGTTTCAGGCTTAACACTAGGAAAAACTTCTTGACAGTTAGGGTGTGCACACAGTGGAATAAACTCCTTCCAGAGGTGGTGCAATCACCTATCCTGGAAATCTTCAAGAGGAGACTGGATGGTCACCTTGCTGGGGTCACCTGACCCCACTTGTCTTTCCTGCCTACTGCAGGGGGGGCTGGACTTGATGATCTTGTAAGGTCCCTTCTAGCCACTTACAATCTATGCATCTGTGTAATTGCCTCTCTAAGATGTTATTATTCCTGCCACTAGGAAAAGAAGAATACAATCCACGTTACGTTTTCAGGACTTGAGGCACATACTAGATTGAACTATTTGCCTAAGGTCACATAAGAAGTCTATAATTGTACCAGGAACTAAATCCAACCTCCTGAGTCATGTGTCCAGTGATCTACCTATAGCTTCCCTAACTCAAGGAGTGTTTGCTAAAGGGCCTTTTGCCTGGAAGTCCTTGGCTACAACACCTGATATCACGTGGGGTCAGGAACTGTAATCATCAGTGAATATGCCCTTGTATTCTATGCACACCGACGGAGGGACACACGTAAGAAAACATCATAAAAATTCCTATATGGGTTCATCTGGCCTGTTATCCTGTCTTCAAATGGCAGGCAGCAGATGATTTCGAGCAGTGGTTCTAAATGTTTTCAGAATCAGGGCATCCCTCCACAACCTTCTGAATGTAGCAGCAGCCCTTGGTCAAGAACCACTGCCATGGTCAATATACCTCAGTGATTTTCAGCTGGGTGATGCCATCACCAGATACAACTTCCCTGGATATCTCGTGCATAGCCAGACCAGGAAGAGCTGTGGTACATGTGCATGCTCCTCCTGCATTTGTGTTCTCTGATAACTGTAAAGCAGGCAAGAGCGCTGGTTCACGCTGCGACCCTTCTTAGGCCAACCTTCCACAGCATCTCTTGGAAACAGAGGCATACGGGATGGACAAAAACTGGGAAAGGCTTGCAGCACAAGTCAGCTTTCCTGGCTGCTTTTGATAACCCTAATGCAGTGCACTAATGTGCTGCAGCTATTTTCAGTTTTGCCTCAGCAGAGAACCACTGCTTTAGAGGAACAGCTTAAGATACAGGGAAGACAGAGTGATTCACCCCCTGTCATAGAACCATAGAAAGTTAGGATTGGAAGGGTTGCCAGCAGCAACCCTGGGTCTGGGTATCATGAGTAAGCTAACAAGAGAAAGGAAAATACCATACTGCTTCAATTAAATGAGATTTGTGATATAAAGAGTTGACAGCCATTAGTTTCCAACTGGAACCAAAAGTTGCTTCAGTCTAAAGCTTCCATTACTGACAGTCAGTTGTGACAAATTTCATGAGTGACAACTTTTCCAAGTGTTTGCTTCAAAACTAATGGGTGAAGGAATAGTTTTCTGCTTCTGTTAACAACCTGGGCATCACTCAGCCAGTACAACAAAACAAGTTGTATATAACAATACATATCTTAATTTTTCTTTAAAAAGGCTATACTTTCACAAATTGGATTTACCTTAGACTTTGATGAGTCGCTAGTTGTTGAATCTGTGCAATAAAATCAAAAACAAAAATGTGGTCAGTTCTCTGCAAGATTTGCTTTTCAAACAGACAATGCTGGACTTATGGGGAAAAAAAGACAAGCACAGAACAAAATATGAAAGCAAATAAAACCAGAACAGAGTGGATAGTCAGAGCTCACAAAGATGCAAGCTGCACCACAGAAAGCCACCGCCATGAAAGGATGCTGTGAATTGTAGGCAGAACCAGCTCAATGATAGGAATGGCAAAGGAGCCCTGTTCTCTAAATAAAAAACAGAAATACTAATGTTTATTCAATTGTTTTAAGTATACAGCCCTGCAAGTCCACAGCTGAGAGACTTTTCAGGATTGTACTGGGTACTCTTCTTTGATTGATACAATATATAATGCAAAAGTTGACACCTCAGTATTTTTGGCTGCCTTCGTGACAAATTGTTATCCTTGTATGTTACATTTATTTTATCAAACTGCTAAAAGTTATATAACGTAAGGGGCTGAATTTTAAACATAAGATTTTATGTTCTAAAACCCAATTTTATATCTGCATTCCTCGAGTGAGCTACCTACTAATAAAATTTTACTTTTAACAAGCTAGATTTCAGCAGCTACCAGTTTTGTATTTCAGTAACAAGCGCTATTCTAAAATGAAAAATGGACCATCGTTTTACTCTTTGGCAAGAACTGAGGTTATACAGTTATAAAGGGGGTAGGAAAGGGCTAGCACTATGACTAGAAAATATTTACACTGAAGCTTTCCAACTTTTGAGGGACTTTTTTCCCCTGGCTTAAAGAGCTGAGCCCCATGCCACACCCCTTTTTGACACATGGCTAATGCTTTATGACTAGAAAAACCGGTAGACCATACCATGCTATTTCTCCTCAGGGTCTGCTTCAGAAATAACAAGAAACAGCAGAAAAACTTTTAAAAAGTAGCATTGATCTGTTCAAAATACTTTTAAAAGAAAATTTACAGCACAGATCAACTTTTTTTTCCCTTTTTTTGCATTTACAAGAAACGGGGGTTTCTGCAGACAAGGCAGCTACAATGTGGGCAACAGTCCTCCTTCTTCCTACAGTTCCAGCTGTCCATCAGTGACATCACAGAATCCACTAGTGACATCACCGTGTGATAGACTCCTCCCACTTCACCTGTTTCAACATCAGTATAGAGTAACTGTTTCAGTAAGTGCTGAACATCCCTTTAAAAACTAAAACAAAGCTAGAGACAAAGGGATAACATTTGTGGGAAACAACATGCCAGGTTAGTGCAACAATACGGTGAGGGGAAAAAAGTCATCAAAAGAGAGCCTACAATACTTGTCCTTAGCCAACCAGGATGGCATTTTATAAACAGAAGAAAATCAGCTTTAATATAGACATATTTCAATATATCCTATAATAATTTCTATTAGTTGATAAGCAAGTGAAATTTAATTTTAACTGCATTTCTAACTTTGGGAAGGAGCACTATTAGAACCATATAGAACATAAATCTTTCTGCCATCACAGCAACCACTATACACAGCAGCATGTATCTGTTTTATCTTATGATGAGTATTACATGAATAACTGTGAATAAATAAAATAGTGTGTGTATTTTTGTTTGCCTTATCTTTCAACGGTTACATGTCTTTTGGTCAACAGAGTTTGCCAATATGTACCGTGCACAGCCATCACAACTGTAATTTATTTAAAAGTACTTATGATCATTTAGAAGAGGGAAAACCAACTGATTAGTAAAAGAAAATAGAAAATTTACAGTGAGGTAACAGAGTAGGTTATTCCAGCCTACAGACTTAACACTGTCCAGGCAAGCGTTACCTGATACATCTCCAGGAGATATTCCCGTTCTTCCAATGTTGCTGAGTAAGTGATCTATGTTTGGGACTGGCTGAGATTGTACAGTGTAGTCCTCCTGAACTGCTGTCTACAGTTAATAAACAAAGATCTCTTCATCATCGTTTCTTAATGAGTTCATTATGATTCAACAACATTTAGAAAACTGCATTATTCACCTGAGGACACAGTTTCCTCATGAGCTCTTTTGTTTTCCCATATTGCCTTATGGTTAATACAAAAAGACATGGAACAATAGCTTAGATTTTCACTACTGCAGGGGCTGGAAAGCTAGAAAGGTGCTTCTGAAGAGCAAGACAGCAAGGCATACAATAGTGCAATAAGGCAGGTGTAGACATTTTAGAGATATCAGGACTGTGTTCTAAACTGAAGTAATTAGAACACAATACTTACAAGCGGCTCTTCACCATCATCTTCAGTGAAAAACCAGTCGTGCTACAATTTAAAATAAAACACATGAAAACCTAACAGGAAGTGGAAAAGTCAAAAGTGGACATCACTACAAATGACATTTTTTATTCAAAGGACAAAAAACCCCAGACTGGTCAAGTAAGAAAAAGGTCTGTCTGTGTAATTCTTTTAAAAATAATGAAATGAATTCACTTACTTTTTGGATAAGTGTTTCTACAATTTTATATTGGTCTGGCATGTGTGTCACCATGTGTGTCATGTTATCATCAGATGTTCTCACAAGGGTTGGACCGAATACTATTGCAAGGTTTCTTGGTTCCATCTGAGAAGTAATGAAAATAAAGTTGCATCATTCATTTATAATGGAGGTTTAACAATATGACCCATTAAAACAAAATATATTAAGTGAAATGCACTGACTAAATAGATTTTTTTTTAACGTTCAACATAGATTTGTGCCATACAAAAAAATCAATTTACTACTGTTACTTTTTGAAGCCAGTTAAAGTAATAGTATTCAAAAAACTTTTAATAGTATTCATGCTACTATCTCAAGAAGTCTATAACATTACTTTTATAGTAAATATTTTGTACAATGGCAGAAGCTCAGAAGCCAACCTACCATTATAACTCAGGAAAAGTCTTGCTAACCTATTCCTTTAGTAAGGCTTTTCTGTGCCACACACATATTTTTTTGGTTTTCTATAAAACAATCGATTCATTTGATTCAAAGCTGCATAAAAACAAACAAAAAATTCACTGCTTTCTAACAGGATAGCTAAGCATCCTCAAGGCACCCTAAGATCCAGGAAGCTTCCGAAGTGTATTTTTCTCCAAATAGTTTAAACGCCAATCAAAGAGTTTCAGCTATGAACCAAATATTTTGTATCATCTCAGGTCCTTGTTCTAAGATGCACAGAGCCATTTACTTCTGAAGTAAGCAGATACTACACAAGTCTATCATGTGCATCTACTTATTTGCATCAGATAATCACTGAATCATACAAGCCTCTTGTTCTGTTACGTTGTTCTTGAACCCCATCCCTCTGACAAAACCTGAGAAAGCAGCAGAGCTCTTTCTTTACTCTATCACCATGTATTGTGGATGTAGCTTATATTTTCTTACTCATGACATGGAATAAACTCATAATAAATAGGTGGCATAATATAGTCCACAAGAATGAGGACAAGGTTGCAAAGCAAGGATTTCTCATCTCCTAATCCTCATCTTGACTCAAAATGTGTCACCTTGATCAAGTCATACCACCCCTCTGAAAAATGGGAACAATATCACCTTACTTAACTCCCCTCACAGTTACATCAGCAGAATTACCTAACTAAAGTTTATGGAATACTTTGAATATATAAAATGCTGCTTGTGGCCTAATTTAAAACGACCTGCCCAGGCTAACTTCAAATCTAAGCATTGTTTTTAATCACCCACAAATATCCAATGTATAATAAATAATGCATATTTAGATAGAAGGTAAACATTTCAATATTGTCTAAGAAATGTAGGGCACCTAGGGCATAGGCTCAAAAACAACTTAGATGGGAGGTAAGGATTCCAGAGTCCAAACCTCAAAGTCACATTTGACCACAGGACTTGGGTATTTCGGAAGTTTTCCTCAGAGCCCGTCATCCTACAGGATCCCCAAACACTATACAAAATTATTGGCCTAATCTTGCAAACTGTGGAACACTGCAGTCAACTACAGCATAACATGCTACAAAAGAGATAGCCCGAATTTCATAAACACATCAAGGCAAACCCCTACTTACACATGACCTTTAATGACACCCATCTACAGACAGTAAAGCAGACCTCTTCTGGTCTACAAAGAAAACTCACACTACTTTAACCGATTAAAAAAACCAAAACAATTTGGTAAAAATAACTGAAACATCTACATGGGCATGTTTAACTTGTTTTGCAAATGGATTACACTAAAATTATCAAATTAAACTAGATAGATGTGGACCAGCTATTTCTACACAGGGGTTTGAACCATTTTTAAATAAATTTAATCTAGAACTCTAATGAATTAAGTACAGGGGTGTAGGTTGTAACCATGTTGGTCTAAGGACATAGGCAGACAAGATTCTTTGGGTAAATCTGGTATCTTTTATTAGCCCAACCAAATAGTTGGAAAAATATTTCTTAGCAAGCTGTCAGGTTTAAAAACCCTTCATCAGGCTGGGGAGGCTGGGGAAGCATCTGCAGTTGGTATGCAAAAGCTAGCTAAGAAATATTTTTCCAACTATTTAGTTGGGCTAATAAACAGTATCAGATTTACCTGTCTGCCAGTGAATTAAGTAGGCATATGAAGAGCTGACAAGACCTTTGTCTCAGTCAAAAGTCTTCTCATAATGCAGGAAACTATTTACTAATCAAGGTAAAGTCAAATTGCTATATAGGTACAGATGTGCTTATCCCTTGAAATAATGCATCCCAAGAAAATTTCCTTAAATAAGGAAGTTGAAGAGGTCTTGTATATTAAATTTTAATACCTTATTTTTTTCTGAATTTTCTGCTACTGTCTTTAAATGTGCTGAAAGAAACTTCAGAGTTTCATAATGATGTTCAGGTAAATCATGGATCTGAAACAAACAGAATTTTAGCATGTAGTCTAAAGCAGTGCAGTACAAAATTTGTGCTGAATTTCAAATATTTGAAACTAGATTACCAATTGTTTTAGTGTTTTTAGACGCTCTACAGGATCTTCTTTTCTATTGGCATCTATGAAATCTGCGTATTTGTCTGTCCGAAACAAAAGAAAAAGGAGGGTTGGGGGAAAGGAATGTGTTTCACTGTGAACAGTTTTCAGAAATCATAAGTTACCTCATTTCACTTTTGCATAATGGAATTCAGCTATACACTATTCTACCATTTAAACAGAGACAAGAAATAAATTGTCTTATTTGCAATAAAAGAAATTTAGGATAATAGAAAAGTAGGACTTGAAGGGACCTCAGAAGGTCATGTAGTCCCACTGCCTGCTCAAAGCAGGATCATCCCAGACTAGACCAACCCAGTCAAGTATCTGTCTAACTTGCTCTTGAAAGTTTCCAAGGACACAGGTTCCTGGAACAATCTAAGAAAGTTCTTCCTGAGAAAATTCTTCTTAGGTTGACTATTAAGGGAAATTTTCTAACTGTTGAGAGTGGTTAAACCCTGCAATAGGTTACCTAAAGAGGCTGTAGAATCTTCATTGTTGAAAATTTAGAGCAGGTAAGATTAATTCATTTGGAATGGTTTAGACAGAAAATCTTGCTTTGAGAGAAGGGAGTTGATCTAGATCAGATGTAGCCACCATGTGGTACAGGTGCCACAACTGGCATAGGCAGTCTGTGTGTGTGGCATGTGGATTAGAAAGGGGACTGGAAGCAGAGTGGCAGACAGGATAGGGAGCAGAAACCAGAACAGCGGGTCAGGCAGGGAGCACAGGGCAGAAAAGTGGGTAGGGGAAGGGGAATGGAGTGGCGCTCGGGGAGGGTGCAGAGCTAATTTGTGGCAAGTCTACCAAAAAGGTTGGCCCCCATTGGACTAGACGATCTCCAGAGGTCCCATCCAGCCTACTTTGTATGATGCCAGATCTATGAATTCTACTAATGTGACCAGCGAAGTCATTACAATTTAATTCATCACTTCCTCAAAAATATATTTTTTAAGAATCCACTTCTTTATACAGGACCTATATATAAACTACTTAAACTTAATTTGCAGTAAAAAAAAAAAAAAAATCAACAAATTTATTCCCACAAATGTGGTACCAAACTGAATTCCAGCTATGCCTCCTTTCAGTTAACACACAAAATAATATGATTTAAAAATTCTCTAAAAACATAGATTAGCATGAGAAGTAAGAAAGAAAAATGTTAGTTTGATTTGTAAAAGGAAGGTCTAAAGTTAACAGAATACTAGCTTTATACTATATATATATATATATATATATAT